CACACACACACACACACACACACACACACACACACACACACACACACACACACACACACACACACACTCCTCTGAGAGAAAGTTACTCTCACAGATGCATGCCTTTGCACAATTTGCATCTGAATACCAACTTTTGTTTGAAAATTCAAGGGTCCTTGGAGATTCTGCACACTCTGTTCAGAGCCAGGCATGCCAGTGGGAACAAAGTCACACATTAGCAAAGCCCTGCCAGCCTCAATTATGACCAAAGGGATTGGCTTGATAATGTTGCAGCAGACCACATTCAGCCCTGAATGTGTCCATCCAAACTTTTCTGGCCACTTCCTTTATGCTTTTCTTCAGCGTTAAGGAATGGTGGATTGAAAATTTCWGTGTAAAAAAAGGAGGCAGAGGATCTCTGCTCCTGCATTCCGTTTGATTCTGCTCTATTTTATATGGAAACTGTGGTCTGAGACTCTACTTTAATATGGAACAATCCATCTGCAGTCAGTCTTCATGGTCTTTGTTCTTTTTCGGCTGCATGCCTGAATTTATTTTTTACTTTTCTCACGCTTTTTTTAACGTCTTTTTCCTCCAACCTTTTCCATCTCAGAGTATTCGAGAGAGAAACTTCGAGTGTGACTTCAAATTTGTGGGCTCTTTTTTTCCATATATCTCATGCATTATGAGACTCCGCTGATTAAATTGCAAGTACACTATGACTCTCCCTCCTTTAATATGTAATATATGTGTTTTTTTTCCCTCTGGTTCTCTCATATTCAGACTGTGTTTTTGTGCACCTCTGAGGACCAGAGATCGGATGAATCAGACTTTATGCCTCTTTCAAAGCCCAAGGTGTTTTATTTATAGAAGAAAAGTACCTTAACCCCTTTGAAAAGTCTGAAAAGATTTATCAGCTGCTCTCTCCGCTTTCTCGCTGCCTCACTTGACCTGTGATACTTGAAGTGCAGATGTGGGTAGCTGGGCAGTGTAAAGCATCTGCCCGTCGATCTGGTGTGTGTTTTCATCCCCCCACGCTTGCCGCTTTCTTACCATCGTGCCCATGCTGTGACATGGGCCGCCCTGTTGTCACCACATTTATAATTCAGTCTTATCAATAAAAGATGGATGACATTAAGTTTTTATCTGGTGATGCAGTGCTGCTGTCTAGAGCCTCTTTACAAGCACATCACTGAGGAGCAAAACTTTCCCTCTGTGTTTTTACCTCCAGGCATCACTTGGCATTAGKATAACCTCAGATGATCCTTGTTTCTGCTACATGCTTTTAGAGGCTTATTCTCTGTGATCTCATATTCTGCTAGCTTACTCCCACAGCCATCCTCCCTATAAGCCCCTGGCCCTTAATGAGTTTTGCTGAGAGATATATTTGTGCGTGTTGTCTTCTGCTTCTGTCTAAATGGCAAAAAAATCCCCCCTTTCATTTTGTCTTATTGGGCTGAATCAGCATTGTCGTTTCACAGTTCACTTAGTGCAAAGAGCTGATGCGGGCGTAGCTCTGTCAGGAAAACGAGCTCAAAAAATCCCCCCCCCCCCCAAGTTTACAGAAAACAGCGTGGCCCGCCTTGAATTATAAATGCACGCAAACCCTCACATTTGTGGAGGCTGAGATCAGCTGTGCTAAGCGCTGCTGTTTTCAAACAGCTGTCCATCTCCGTGTTTCCAYACGTCTCCAACCATCTAATAGCTTCGATCTGCTTCGACACTGTGTTTTCATCTCCTTCTGTCCTTTTTTGTTTCATGGAGCATATACCGCCCAGTGAGATAAACAATCTGTGGGATGAAAGAGAGAGGCATGGAGCAAACTGGGAGAAAATAACTGTATGTGTCAGTTAGAGCTGATAAAAGCCTGAAAATCCAATTAGTCCTCAGTATCAGGTGGAGGAGGACTATCCAGAACGTCACCTTTTATCATAACACAAGTGTCTATTGATAATTTAGTTTTTGTTTGTGTTAGATCTATTTTTGTCATTATGGCTGGTTTTGCCCACATCAGCTTATTGCAAAGAAAAACAAATATCAAAGGCAAGAACTGTCAGCAGAAAGTGGAAGGGGTTGATCTCCATACCATCGCAAGTCTATTCTTAATTTACTGTGGATGTCCCAGAATTCATTTGTGAACACAAACCACTGAATACAGATGGAGCTCAGTAAATGTGTGTCCTTTTATCTTTTTTTTAATGGTGGATTACCTTGTTGCTGGTGTTTTGTTTTCATCCCATGCCAAAAATCGAAGACGATATTCGGGCTGAGAGGAAACATGAAAAGTGAGCGAGGGCAGTTTGGAACGGCGCAGCGCCTCAGGTCAGAGATCGTACGTCCCCTGAGGGAAGAACCACATGCCCCCCGGGAGCAGGAAACCAGAGCAAACACAGCTGCTGTCATGCGTTCATCTGTGTGTGCACGTATCCACATGGTGTGGATTTACATGTGTAGGTGTGCACTTTTTGTGCAAAGCAAAATCGTGGTGGAAAAAGGAAGACATGTGTGGGTGTTTTTGCAATAAGGAAGAACCTTAATGAGCACAATCTGGACAACGGAGTACAGACCAAAAGGAAACAGAAGGACTTTGAGTTAGAATTCATCTCTTTTACATTCAGCTCACTCTTGCTTCATGTGCTTAGACTCTGAAAAGAGTTGAACATTAACGGTGTGTCATGGTTGTGAATGTATGCATCCAGACACAGCTGCATGGGTTCATTTGTTCCACTTCTTTTCCTTCGTAACAAACGGTCACGCTCTTCTTGAGAGGTTGAAGCCCCAGAAGACGGGTTGTGTTTATTGGCTTCATTTTGAAAACATGGATTGCTCTGGCTATACTTCACGTTTACAAACACGCAACATGCAACAACCCAACCTCTCACATTTTTGTGACGCTAGAGCTTCTTAGCTGGTGATCTGAAGTTGCTGTTTTGATGTTGTATGATTGTCGTTGCTGGGTTGTATCAGATTATACTGTATGTCATTATTATGGTTGTTTTTAAAATGTGGATGACTCACAAGTTCATGAAACACACTTGATTTCTGTTTTTCATTTAAACTGTTTCATCTTTTGTTTTTGGGKTTTTTTAGTTTATTTTATATAGCAGGTTTATGAGTTTTAGAACATGAAGGAACCAGTTCTCAATTCTTATGTTTGATGTTTTTACCCAAAAGGTGAAAGAGTAAAAAAATGCCATGAACTGAGGGGCGGATCTAGATGTTTTTGCATGGGGTGGCACAGGCCAAGATGGGGTTTTTTGTGTTTTGTTTTTTGTTTTTTGAGGGGGGGGCACATACAAATGAGTAAAACTACTCTGAATTTCGGTATTCAAGATGGCCTCCATAGCTAACTTCAACCGGCTATTCTTTTTAAAGAAATATTGAGTAGAAATTTTGATTGATTGAAGTCAAGAATGATAAAAAAACATGTTGATTGTTGGTTCCACCTAAGATAACTGCTAATGCAAATAAAGAACTATAATTTAGCCATTTATAAACACACAGAGGAAAATTAGTGTAGYAGTAGCCAAGAAGTAATCTTTTACAAAGTCTGATTTTAAATACAAAATCCAAGATGGCTGCCAAAGCTAATTTTAAATGACAACAACTCAGACATTTTTAGAAATAGTGAGCTGAAATCTTGTGTGGTGGTAGCCAAGAGTGTAAAGCATTTGATCAGAGAGCAAAAAATGTTTCTCATTATATGCCCACCTTTGAAATGCCACATAAATCCCACCCCACTTGTCAATCGTTTGAGGGGGGTATCTGGGGGTGGCCACCCCTCTGGCTCCGCCCATTAGATTAAAATGATGTATGTAATCACTGTATGTACAACTGAACAAGTTTTGGAGTCAAGATGTTCACCACAGCTACTCCACATTTGCTAGTACAAAGATAATTTGGTCAGTTGTACAGATATGAAGCTGATATTTCATGTGGTAGTAGCTGAGAGTCATTTACAACACATACTCTGAGTACACTTTATTTTCAAAGTTTRAGCAAAACAACTACAACTTTGTTATTTCTCAACAACAAGACAATCAGTATAAAACTCTATCATGGAAGGGGATGGGTGATATGCAGGTGATAACTGTAGGACTTTTTTTCTACAGTTTTTCTTGAAGCTTCAGGGTAAATGTTAGCTTGTTGTATCCTAAAGTTTATTTTCATCTACTGACTCCTGTTTTCACTCAGCCCAGCTCATCCTGTCTCTCCTTCACCTCTGCCTCCCACTCCTCCCCCTAACCCCTCTGCCCTGCATCTCTCCTGTCCACAAAACCCTCTCACGGGGAGGTGAGGTTTGAGCTGGCCCCTGGCCCAGGCCCATTAGCCCCAGCCTGGCAGCCGTGTGCTCATCACCAGAGATCATTACAACCAGCCAATGACACCACTCTAATGCATCATTAATGATTGATTAACGAGCTGAGCTCAGCCCAAACGGGTGCATTTGCGTGGAAGAACACCCTGTAATGGCTATGTATGGCTTGCATCTGCTAATTTTTAATGTGGTTTCTGTGTGTCCATGTGGATGTGCATGTTTTATTCTTATCAGTCCCCTCCTGTGTCCTGTTTCACAGGCTGCACGGGGGACCTACAGACTGGATGAAGGACTGAGGAGGAGACTACAGTTTGTCACGATGGCGGGGCGAGGGCACCCTGCCACTCTCCTTCTTCTTTTTCTCTTTCTTGTCCTGGTGGGAAGCCTCCCTGAGGTGAAGGGCTTCAGCTACTTGTCTGGATATCGCCTCAGGTCTCGCCTGCAGAGGGACCGCCACATGAGAAACGTCCGACCCAATATCATTCTGATTCTCACTGATGATCAGGACATAGAGCTGGGTAAGAGGGATAATCCCATATGACTGGGCATCTTGTTTGCTTTTGTTTCATGTCCCCTGAGTATGGGTATTCTGTCCGTGTGGATCCAACAACATTTGCAAGAGAAAGTCAGCCTAATTCCACCTCCTGGCAACAGAACAGCTGGTTCAAAGTCATAAGTTCCCTTTGCCAACTCTGTTTCTGGCATGAAATGAGGGCAGCCTATGGCTTCCATTGTCTGGTTGCCAAAGTCTGACCATCTCCCTACCCGCTTAAGTCCTTTAGCAGCATATTGGATTGGAGTAGCTGCATAATGGCCTCTGTGACATCCTTTGTCCCCGTGTGATCGCAGTGAGAGGACTACCATTGAAAAGCAGGAATTTATGGTCAAGCATCTGTTTCCCCAAACAATCACCATCAGCCTGTAAAGCTTTTGGTACACACACATCTAAATGGGTCACAGTTTACCAAAAAGATTTAGTGCCTCATTTGACTTCAGCTCAGAGGACAKGGACTTCAACTCATTTAACTTTAACCCTTGTTTTTCTCTCTCACTGTATTCTTAATGATTCCACCATTTTTTGCCTTTTTAAAATACTTTCTTGTTGAGTATCTATGTATCTGAAGCACTCTTCCCACTCTGCAGATTTCTTACTCAATGGGTTCACTTCACTCCTATTGTTCAACTCTGAATCCTAATTTTCGTCTCTTTCTCTCCCTGTTATTGTTTGTTTGTTTGTTTGTTTTTCCTCAGGTTCAATGCAGGCCATGAACAAAACTCGTCGAATCATGGAGAAAGGCGGCACACATTTTTCAAATGCTTTCTCCACCACCCCCATGTGCTGCCCGTCCCGGTCCTCCATCCTGACAGGGAAGTATGTGCACAACCACCACACTTACACCAACAACGAGAACTGCTCCTCGCCGTCATGGCAGGCCCACCATGAGCCGCACACATTTGCCGTGCACCTCAATAACTCTGGTTACAGGACAGGTGAGCGCCGTTTCATCATGCATGAGATGCCAAGAAAAACTGTGAATTTGGTACATTAATATTTTGCTCACATAAATTCCCAGCCTTCTTTGGAAAGTATTTGAACGAGTACAACGGCTCGTWTGTGCCCCCTGGCTGGAAGGAATGGGTGGCGCTGGTGAAAAACTCTCGCTTCTACAACTACACCCTCTGCAGAAACGGAGTGCGAGAAAAACACAACAGTGATTACTCAAAGGTATTCTCTCCTGCCCTGTTACTGCAAGATACCTAACCTAACCCTAACACCTTCATCTATAGAATAGTCCTCTAAATAGTCATCAGGAAAGGTTTATAAATGTATACATTTGAGCATTTTCCTTTAGTATTCATGTGAGAATGTCCCAATGGAAGAAAATGAATGGAACCTGATAAACATCAAMTGTTTAAACTTAGAAATTATTCAACTTTTGAAAATTAAGTAATTTTGAATTTATGGCCAGCCACATYTGAAAAAAGTGGGACTGTGTTTATTACTGCAAATATTCTCTTTTCTTTTAGCAACAGTGTAGAAGTTAGGAACTGAGACCAGCTGCTGGAGTCTCTTTTTTGTCTGATGTAGAATTCTAGCTGTTCAGCAGTCCTTCAGCAGTCATCATGCACCAAATGTTTTCCCCTGGTGGGAGGTGTGGACTGCATGTAGGCTGCTTCAACACCCAGACTCCATGCTGTTGTAATGAAGGTTTAGCTGAAATATGCAAGGTTTTTCTTCAAACAATTGTTGTCTGGTTAGGAGCATACGTTGTTCTAAACCCTGAGTATACTTTTCTATATAGATTGTACTTTTTTATACATGTAAGCTACTCATGACAGAGGCACGAATGCACTCCCATACCATCAGAGAGACAGGCTTTTTAACTGCACAGGAAAACCACTTGGATCGTCCCTTTTCTCTTAATCACAGAGGACATGGTGTTCATGTTTTCCAAAAAGAATGTCAACAAAAGGATTGTAAAATTTTTATATTATATTATTATCTTTATTAATTTCATTAAAAAAACACATTTATAACAAAAAATACAAACCAAACACAATGAAAGGTAGCAGAAGAGGAAAAAAATCTTAGATCTGCCCCATTTACAAAAAATAATATTAATTACAAACAATAATAATCAAATTATAAAACTAAACAAAAAGTTTAACTCATCAAACAGTAACTCTTACAAATACAAATTATACACTTTCAAAATTGTAAATTTTTTTTAGTTGCAACATTTGGTATGTTTACAACCATGTGAATAATATCCAGATTTAAGAGACTTTATAGCCTTCTCTTTTAATTTGCATTTTGAACAACATCCTAACTTCAATTAATGAGGTTGTAAAATAAAAAAAGACATTTAAAGCTAAAAATGTTTTGGTTTTATCAACCAGATAAACAGTTTATTAAACATATGCTCAACTCTGCTTCAGCCGCTGATGATTGGCTCTGATCCAACACAGCTGTGTGAGCTCTGACATCTGCTCTGTCACTCCTGTTCTCTCTAACCGAGTGTCTGCTGGACAACATTCACTTTCTCTCCAGGACTACCTGACAGACATCATCACCAACGACAGCATCAACTACTTCCGTATGTCCAAGAAGATGTACCCTCACCGGCCCATCATGATGGTCCTGAGCCATGTGGCTCCACACGGTCCAGAGGACTCTGCCCCACAGTACAGCTTTGCCTTCCCCAATGCCTCGCAGCACATGTAAGGATGTCAGAAAGTTACTTAAAAAGTTTATTTTTAAATATAAAGCACTATGATTACCAAACTAAGAAATGCCAAACTCTTTCAGGGTTTTCTATGAATAAATTTGGAACAAAAAAAACTGTCAGCCTGTTTGAGCCAAAGCTTTGAGACAAAGCTGAAAGTACAAGAATACATTTATACATTTTTTATTTTTATTTGATAGCAAATGACTCATTCCTGCATTCACATTTCCAGAATCTCAGCTCAATCTTCAGTGTGCTGTAGGCAGCTGAAGCTTGTCGCACCGCTGCTGTTTCACTCCGGTTTATTTGTCTCGAGTTGTTCACATTAGTGTTGTCTATATAACAAGCCTCGTTCATCCGTACTGTTTTGTCAGGCATGATCAAAGAGAAGCACAAATGAGGTTCACTTAAGGCATAGGTGATAATTTAGACACACATAAAAGCAAATATGTGCTGCACACCTCCTATCTTTTCACCCTTTGATTTTCTGACCCTCTGCACTCGTGGCTGGATCTTTTCTGCTGCCAGCTAATAGCAAGCCCACTATTGGCCTCCAGAGATGTATCTAAAACCAGTAATGAGATTGTATTTTCCACTCTTTTCCTCCAACCCCCTCACACACTCATACTGCTTCATCTAATCCCTCCAGCATCATTAACCTGCTTCACACTGCCTTTATACACAGAAAATTCAGACAATTCAACCCCAGTGTCTTTGTGCAAACTTTTTATTGCTTTGTCCGTAAATGCACTCTCTCTTGGGCTTTAGTAGCTCAGAGCGCTTTCTCTGGCCCTTTTTTTTCACTCCACCTCCATCTGTCCTCATTAGGAAGAGGAGAAGATTGAGGCAGTAAAATTTATGCACTAATCTGGAGATAAACCCTCTCACCTTGACACTCACTTTACAATTTATTGCAGACAGAACTGCTTGACAGTGACAAAATCGTTACACACAAAGATTCTGCGTGTTTTTCTTACCGAACCTCACAGATAATTACACTTTTTTGTTACTTAGAGTTAAATATCAGTTCGTTTGATTCCAACACTTTGCATTTTACATTGTTTTTTTAGCTCCAGTTTTACTTTGAATAAACTGTTTTCTTTCTTCTCTGTAAAGACATTAGCATACAGCAGCAGATACACTGTAGTTGCTGTGAGCGCACAGTTTATTTGTAAACATTTCTTGTAACCTAAAGCTTCAGCTTCATTAAATAATTTTTTAGTGTGCTTTCCCTTAGGATTCAAATTTTTAAAAATGCAGTTTTACACTAAAAAAATGTCTTACTTTTAATTTATTTGTTCTCTTTGAAGAACTCCAAGCTACAACTATGCCCCAAACCCAGACAAGCACTGGATCCTGCGCTACACTGGACCCATGAAGCCGGTCCACATGCAGTTCACCAACATGCTCCAGAGCCGCAGGATGCAGACTCTGCTGTCTGTGGATGACAGTGTGGAGAAGGTGGGCAGACAAGCAGGCAGTCGTTTGCCTTAAACACACATACACTCAGACGCACACGTACAACTCATCTAACAGCCGGGGGTCCAGGGAGATCTGTGCCTCTTCTGACAGGGACTGGATAATGAATTCACTGACACACTTGGTAAATTGTTCAATCTCTTTTTCCCTGAAACTGGCACAGGAGATTTGAATAATCATTCTGAAAGTTTAACTTTTTACGCTGCGTGAGTGTTAAATGAGTTGTATCTGCTGTAGGTGTACAACATGTTGGTGGAGACAGGTGAGGTGGACAACACCTACATCATTTACACCTCGGACCACGGCTATCATATTGGCCAGTTTGGTTTGGTGAAGGGCAAATCGATGCCTTATGAATTTGATATCCGTGTACCTTTCTACGTACGAGGACCTAATGTGGAGCAAGGCACCATGTGAGTGACTCACTTTGATTTCCTGTCATAATCATTGTTAAACACTCACTATCCTCTTCACTGGGTACACTTGTTCAGTTGCTTGGTAACACAAATAGCTAATCAGCCAATCACATGGCAGCACCTCAATGCATTTAAACCTCTAGATGGAGTGAAGACGACTTGCCGAAGTTCAAACCCAGCATCAAAGCAAAAAGAAAAGAGATTTAGGTGATTTTGAACATGGATTTTGGTGCCAGACGTGCTAATCTCTGTATTTTAGAAACGTCTAATCTGATCTGAGCTGATCTACTGGGATTTTCAAGCACAATCATCTCTTGGGTTTACAGCGAATGCTTGAAAAATAAAAGAAAATATTCAGTGAGCAACGTTTGTGTGAATAAAAATACCTTGTCAGAGGAAAATGAACAGACTGGTTAAAGATGACAAAMAAAGAACCAGTAGCTCAAATTTACACTCGTTACAACCAAAGTTCTGCAGAACACCATCACTGAACACAACACATTAAACCTTAAAGCAGCCAGCAGAAGACCACACTGGGTGTCACTCCTGTCAGCTGAGAACAGGAAACTGAAGCTACAGTTCAGACTCACCAGAACTGGAAAATAAGATACTGTAAAAATATTTCCTGGTCTGGTGAGTAGCTGTAAACCATAGAGATTGTTGTGCACGAAAATCTCTGAAAAGCTCAAACCAGCCTGTCTAGCACCAAAAACCATGACATGTTCAAATCTACATGTCTATGGATGGATGGATGGATGTGTAGGGGTCACCTCGAGTGAAGAAACAGGAATTACTGCCTCAAAGCAGGTCTTGCAGGCCTGAGAATTGGCAGGAACGCTGAACTCTTATTTTAGGCCATGACGGGTCATTTCAACCTATACGAGGACTTCAGTTCTCTTAATT